TATACCGAAAAAAAAAAAAAAAAAAAAAAACACTTAAAAAAAATCATACTGGGCTTCCCTGGTGGCGCAGTGGTTGAGAGTCCGCCTGCGGATGCAGGGGACACGGGTTCGTGCCCCGGTCCGGGAGGATCCCACATGCCGCGGAGCGGCTGGGCCCGTGAGCCATGGCCGTTGGGCCTGTGCGTCCGGAGCCTGTGCTCCGCAACGGGAGAGGCCACAACAGTGAGAGGCCCGCGTACCGTTAAAAGAAAAAAAAAAAAAATCATACTAAACAAGCTATCTGTATGCCACTATCCTGAACTATCCAGCTTTTATCAAACTTACCATGTAAAAATATCAATTACACAAACAATGGCCATGATGCATGATTCATTTCTGGAGCCTCTATCCTAGTACATTGAACTGGGGCAATACTGAGCTACATTACAGCACAGACATTTGAGTTTTGAGCAAAATCATTCACCTTTTTTACAGCAACATTCATGGTAGGAAGACACAAACTCTGGAGTGAAATACAGATTTTGTATTCAAAAGCCAAGTGCTCTTTGATAAGCCCAATCCTTTGGCCTCAATTTTCTCATTCATAAATTGGGGAAAATTTATTATAGTGAGGGATTGCCCTAAGCTGCAAATTATACTCTCTTCACTTCTCCAGCCAATTTTCAGGCCATGTTTGAGATCCCTTTCTATTGTTTTCTTTCCTTCTCTGACCGGTATATCATAATGCATGAGACACCACAAACACACACACACACACATAAAAACACCCAACAGGCATTCTTCTTCCCTTTCCCTTCACCTTGAATTGAAGATGCTCGTTCATTCTTTCTCTCTTTACCAGGTGTAGTATCCTGAATTTTAGTTAGTGGCTTCTCTTGTTGAGGTTGCTTATCACCGGGCTTTTGGAACCATGGGTGTGTGTGTGCAAATGAAAAGTTTTGTTACTAATACATGTCAACAATATAAATATACAAAATACAAAGATACATTTGATCATAAATAAATCTAAAGACATTTTCCCAATACTATTCAGTACACTGTTTTTTTTGGGGGGGGGCAGAGAAAGTTGTATTACAAGTCCATGCAAGGAGACAAGGTGGCTCATGCCCTAAGAAGCCTCAAGCTCCCAGCATACTTATTCTTAACAAAGTTACTCTTCCCACAGAGAGGCTACTCCAAGAAAACAGTTACCCACAAGGACTTTGGAAGCTATTTTAATCTATGTCAGAATGGCTGTGTGCAATCTCTTAATAAGCATGAGAAGGAAGTCATCAGTCAAATTCCCCAGGAACGTAACAGCATTCATCCAGGCAACACCAGAATTCCTGGATCAATGTTCCTTATCACATGGAAGACCTTTATCACTGTATCTATATTAGTTCAACAACATTTGCACAAAAATTAATTTCTACTAATAAAAATCATCAAATGTTAAAACACTTACAAACACTGGCCAAACTGCCCTGGGATAGCCTTGATCATCACCTCTTTCTTTAGGTCTGTATGTTGACTTTATTCTCCGACATATATTTCCCACTGAAAACAGAACATTGTCATTTGGAAAATGCACTTAAGAGAGTAATTATATTTGAACACTTCCGTGGCCAAATGATGATGTATACTATTTTTGTAATATTGAACACATTTTCAAAATAAGTCTCAAGGTAATTTAATTGTGTGTGCTTTCCAAGCACACCAGCTCTGGCAACTTGCAAAAGCAATTGTTGATGTCACGGCCAAGCTGACAGAAAAAGCACCCTAAAACACATAGTAGGGCTTCCCTAGTGGCGCAGTGGTTGATGGTCTGCCTGCTGATGCAGGGGATGCGGGTTCGTGCCCCATCCGGGAGGATCCCACGTGCTGCGGAACAGCTGGGCCCATGAGCCATGGCCGCCACGCCTGCGCGTCCAGAGCCTGTGCTCCGCAGCGGGTGAGGCCATGGTGGTGAGAGGCCCGCGTACCACAAAAAAAATTAAATAGAATAACCATAATAACATTAAAATTATTTATGAATACCAGTCAAATATACAATGAGAATAAAGGAAACGGGGTAGAAAGAAATGAAAGGGCATTGTTACCAGTCATATTCTACAAACCTTTAATAGTGCCCTAAGTTATGTAAATGTTTTGCTTCAAAATACTATATATATCCAGGAGAAATAATGTCTGTCTCATGTTAATCTTAGAATAATTAATCTTTTGATTTTCCTAACCATAGAAGGATTTAGCCACCTTTTAAAAACCACTTTAGGGCTTCCCTGGTGGCGCAGTGGCTAAAGAGTCCGCCTGCCGATGCAGGGGACACGGATTTGTGCCCCTGTCCGAGAAGATCCCACATGCTGTGGAGCGGCTGGGCTCGTGAGCCATGGCCGCTGAGCCTGCGTGTCCGGAGCCTGTGCTCCGCAACAGGAGAGGCCACAACAGTGAGAGGCCCGTGTACCGCAAAAAAAAAAAAACACTTTAAAAATGTCATACTAAACCAGCTACCTGTATGCCAGTACCCTGAATTATCCAGCTTTTATCAAACTTGCCATGTAAAAATATCAATTACAGAAACAATGGCTATCATGCATGACTCATTTCTGGAGCCTCTATCCTACTACATTAAACTGGGGCAATACTGAGCTACATTACAGTACAGACATTTGAGTTTTGAGCAAAATCATTCACCTTTTTTACAGCAACATTCATGGTAGGAAGACACAAACTCTGGAGTGAAATACAGATTTTGTATTCCAAAGCCAAGTGCTCTTTGATAAACCCAATCCTTTAGCCTCAATTTTCTCATTCATAAATTGGGGAAAATTTATTATAGTGAGGGATTGCCCTAAGCTGCAAATTATACTCTCTTCACTTCTCCAGCCAATTTTCAGGCCATGTTTGAGATCCCTTTCTATTGTTTTCTTTCCTTCTCTGACCGGTATATCATAATGCATGAGACACCACATACACACACACACACACACACATAAACACACCCAACAGGCATCCTTCTTCCCTTTCCCTTCACCTTGAACTGAAGATGCTCCTTCATCCTTTTTCTCTTGACCAGGTATAATGTCCTGACTTTTAGTTAGTGGCTTCTCTTGTTGAGGCTGCTTATCACCGGGCTGCTGGAACTATGGGTGTGTGTGTGCAAATGAAAAGTTTTGTTACTAATAAACAATATAAATATACAAAATACAAAGATACATTTGATCATAAATAAATCTAAAGACATTTTCCCAATACTATTCAGTACCCTTTTTTTTTTTTTTGGAGCAGAGAAAGTTGTATTACAAGTCCATGCAAGGAGATGAGGTGGCTCATGCCCTAAAAAGCCTCGAGCTCCCAGCATACTTATTCTTAACAAAGTTACTCTTCCCACAGAGAGGCTACTCCAAGAAAACAGTTACCCACAAGGACTTTGGAAGCTACTTTAATCTATGTCAGGATGGCTGTGTGCAATCTCTTAATAAGCATGAGAAGGAAGTCATCAGTCAAATTCCCCAGGAACGTAACAGCATTCATCCAGGCAACACCAGAGTGTAATCCTCCTAGATCAATGTTCCTTATCACATGGAAGACCTTTATCACTGTATCTATATTAGTTCAACAACATTTGCACAAAAATTAATTTCTACTAGTAAAAATCATCAAATGTTAAAACACTTACAAACATAGGCCAAACTGCCCTGGGATAGTCTTGATCATCACATCTTTCTTTAAGTCTGTAGGTTGACCTTATTTTCCGACACATATATCCCACTGAAAACAGAACACTGTCATTTGGAAAATGCACTTAAGAGGATAATTATATTTGAACACTTCCGTGGCCTAATGATGATGTATACTATTTTTGTAACATTGAACACATTTCCAAAATAAGTCTCAAGGTAATTTGTGTGTGCTTTCCAATCACACCAAATCTGGCAACTTGCAAAAGCAATTGTTTATGTCATGGCCAAGCTGACAGAAAAATCACTTTAAACCACGTAGTAGGGCTTCCCTAGTGGCTCAGTGGTTGAGGGTCCGCCTGCCGATGCAGGGTACGCGGGTTCGTGCCCCATTCCGGGAAGATCCCACATGACGTGGAGCAGCTGGGCTCTTGAGCCGTGGCTGCTGAGGCTGCGCATCCGGAGCCTGTGCTCCGAAACAGGAGAGGCCACAACAGTGAGAG